GTTCGAAACATTCGATTTGTCGCCTGTGCACGGAATCTGGCAATTTGCAGGAAGTCATCTTTACGGCAGCAAAGCACGGCAAGTAAGTAGCGACAACTCTTGTGTGCAACTGCTCTTCTAGTTCCTAATCCATCAATAATTGCACCTATTCCAGAGCCGCCTACAGCTGTGCAAGAGTTAGTCGCTGGGGCGACCGCCTGCCCATGGCTTTGGGCACGCCGCAAACGAAGGAAGCTAAACCCAAATCAGCGCCGGCGGAACAAGCTGAACTGGCATAGTTTTAAAAATTGTTATATCATGAATATCATGTTGTTTACGCTACAAGCTCTCCCTAATTGATTTGCTTCAAAACCCGAGCTAACATTCTGTGGCTTTAATTATATACAAACAAATCGTTGCGCAGCGTAAATTTTGTTAATTATTTAGTTGCATTTAAATGGCGTTTCATTGATAGTAAATGCTGTTCAAACAGCTAGCGCACCCTCCGCTAAAGTTTAATGGCGAAAACAAAGAGCATAAAAAATATAGAGCGTTACAAAGAGAAGCACCAATGAACTAAACGAATGGATTTAATCGGATTTCGATGAGATACATATGTACACGAGTATACAAAAGTAGTTTCCAGCCAATGGTCAGCATTGACAGCACGCCCGTTGTTAATATGGGTATTGTAAGAGGCAGATTTGTATGTAATTTTCCAGCAGTGGACTTGGAGCATTATATAAATGTGCAAATGTGCAAATAAACGGTGAGAAACTCGATAGTTATTTTGCTCCCCTTATATATAATCAGAGTATTATTGGTTGCACATATCTGTATTTCCTTAACTTATATTCTAGTTTTTGTATATAGTATATAAATATGTACTTACCCATAAATTCACATACACACGCACAATTTTTTATTGCCAATTATTTTATAGAACAGGAGAAAGAAAAGGGAGTCAACTGAGTGAGGAAAGGAATAAAGCACGAGAATAAATTAAAGTAAGATTATGACTAGAAATTCTATGCGTTGATAATAGAATCTCTCATTAAGTTCATGAGAATCGCATAGAAGGGGCACGCTTAAAAATATGTTGTCTTAAAATTGCAGCGAGAAATAGACAACTTAAATTGCGAAACTACGTAATTACCCATATACATACATAAATTAAAAAGTTTGTTTTTTATTTTGCTGTGTATCGGAGGATTTATCAAAAGTGCGAAGTGAGGAAATCTGCCATTCTCATATACAAATATGCTGAAATTGGTTTATTATTGAATTTGCGTAAAACAAAAACTTCAATATCATTAAGGAGATATTCAAAAGAAATAGTAGATTTCCATTCATAAATTCATTCGAATGGATCGAACATCTTTTATGAGAATTGAATTTGAAACCCCTTTAAATTTCAATTAACCAAACTAGCTGCTAAGAGTTAAAATGTGAGTAAATGTGTGTACGTTCGGGACATCAATGCCAATCCCATTAAACAGTGGGTATGTGGTACACATAGCCAGACTGGCATTTGGCTATGTGTTAATGTGAAACGCGCCCTTTTAGTGACCGCTCATCCGATCATCCCTGCGCCAGACCTGCTCCTTGCGTGGCCATTTGGCATAACGCTGCGAGCTAGAAAAAGGGCAAATTGTGGGGCGCGAAAACTGGCACGTCGCTCTACTCCATGGGTGTGCCAGTATACGGATACATATACTGCACATATGTATGTAGCATGCTTTTAAGGATTGGCCCTCTAACAAGGTGTGCTATAGAGCAATGGACCTTGAATACCTAAAAGTGGCATATAAATATTGGTAGCGAATGTCTTTGTAACTTCAAAATGACTCCCTTTGGTGCTTTTGGAAAAATATTACCTGAGTATTTCTTTTAGCTGTATTTTAGACAAATTTATAGACACGGCCTTTCTCATGCATCAGAATTCGCGACAAGAAGGCTTAATAAATGTTGAAGTCAAATTAATTTCCCTTCTACTTTTGAGTAAAGCTGAAAAAAACAAACGGACTTGAAATATCTTTGAAAATAAGTGAATAGATTGGCTGCTATTTTCTACCTATTGTTCAATCTTAAGGTTGGCTATTTTAAAATCCTTTCTCGACTTTCGTTATAAAAGGTAAAAGCTGTGAAAAAGTTAGCCCCTTGTGTTAACTTGTGTCATGTTACTATATTTTCTGGAGGTCTTGTTGCCGCAATATATAGCAATATATAGAAAATTTATCTGCAATCAAAAATTGTAGCCGAACCACATTTTAAATGCTACTATTTAAGGTTTTCCCGATCAGTTTCACGTGCTGCATCCGCTACGTAAATTTAATTAACGAATGCATTTGCCAAGTCATTAACCCATTTAGTTAAATATACTTATATAAAATTGATATGACAGGATATATGAATATACACGGCTGTCCAATGATAAACGGTTACATTATATGCTAACCAAGGCGCAAGCCACCCCCGCCCTATGGGAACTGTACAACAAACACACACACACACACACACACACACACACACACACACATACACACGCCATGTGGCGCCCTCTCCCGTTAGGTAGATGCTATTATGTGGATATACACACGCACACCGACTAGGTGGGGTCAGCTCATTAAAAAGGCGCGTTCGCTGGTGTCAGCTGTCGCCCTGTCTCTATCTGGCTATTTGTACTAGTAAGGTGCGTCCCACAACAACGACAACAACAGCAACAACAACAACAACAAGCGAAACGGTGGCGTTTAGAAAGCATGCGCCGCTGTTGCAACATTTGAGTGACCCACCCAGTCAGTCAGTCAGCCAACCAAGCGGCCAGCCGGCATTGTTGTTCCTTTTGTTCCGAGTCTAATTCTAATGTCGACTCCCCTGACCAAAAAAAAAAAATAGAAATAAAAAAAGGTTTTTATACATAGTCGGGCGCGGACGGGCAGCTAGTTAGTTGGTTAGTTGATCAAGTGGCATTACGGGAGGCTACCTAGCGGCTGTTGGTGTGCTCCGTGCATCAGTCGAGGCTCGAGCGTTGTCAGGAATAGTTGCGGTTGTGGTTGCGATTGCAGGCTAACAGGAGTTCATCTTTCTGGTGCTATCCCTTGGCCGGCATATTTCATTCGCGCCTGTATCTTGCTGAACCGTTACAATTGAGACATCTAAATCCGGTTGAGCAAAATTTCAGGTGTGTGAGAAATTTGTAGCGGTATCATCATGACAAAAAAGAAAGTGTTTAAAATCTACCTATCCGTGTAATTGTTAAAAATGATAAACAGGTGAGTATCCATTGTTGAATCTAACAATTTTAGTCTCTGAAAACATTTATATTTTTCCGACTTGTTGCGTTGATAAAGCCTCTTCTTCACTTCCCTTTTAGTCATATAGAGAATAAATCCTTATTATTAAATAATTTTGCATATTCGATTTTTTTAAACTTTAGTTCTTATGTTCTAAATTTGTTTACTCTAACTTACAAATATTTACCAATTCATTTGCGGCACCTATCGTTATGGGCTTCCGATCTGAATAGAGCAGTATTTAATAGTAGGGCAAAGCTTGATCCGAAGTTTCTACTTTAATTCAGAACGGAGTGAATAATAACTGTTTCCCAATCGTTAATCATAAAAGTCATTATTTTAGTAGGAATATAATAAAATATTATTCAGAGCTTTGCAAATAAACTTAAAGTCGATCGGAGGAAGATTTAACGCGCCCCATATATCACTCAGTGGATAAATTTAATGTTCACAGATATCTTAAAAACAAATGTTAAAGGTAAATAATAAGGAAACCTAGAAACACTTATATTACATGGGGTAACTAAGCAGCTTCCTATCGCTATCCGGATGGGACGTGCGTTGAATAGACAAATAGGTTTATATTTTCTCTATATAAAGAACTGTTTGTCCTGACTGACTCATAGCTTGACGGATTGGGATCAACGCACATCTCAGGCCGAAAGAGCTAGGAAGCTGGAATTTTCACTGTATCTTAGGCGATGGACGCGGACGCTAAGACGGGGAGGCTTTGGTTAATTCCACCCGCTGGTGTGGAAAAATCACGACAAACGAAATTACCATTTTAAAAAAATTACCATACTCAAAATTATATTCAAAGGTCTTTGTTCAAATTAATAAGACGGGTGTTTTAAGCTTTTCCCAAAATCCATTCCTTCTCGGATGAAATAGCACTTAAAAATTTGGTGGTTTAAATTCAGGATTCGTATTCGGGTTAACGGATCTTTGAGACGTCTTTTAAAACTTCCACAGAATCCTGGAAAATGCAATTAAAAAATTTTTTGTTGGAAGTTTTATTTTTGTCCGATTGCGACTTTGGAAAGTTGGAAAGTTGGCGGAAAACTTGCGACTTTATTGCTTACGATCGGATCGGTCTCAAACATATTTTCTAATATCTTTGTGAAATTTTACCTGGTGCGTGCCTTAGGTTTTGAGCCTCACATGTTTAATGAGGGAAAGTTTATTTCTTTAGGTTCAGGATTTTGAGCACAATACTAACATGGGCGGAAACTGTTAATTCCAACTTTTGGTTCTTTATCTTAAGGACTTTGAACTAACTATCTATTTCAAATATAACACTAAACGTGGAGTGCACATCCTATCGTGTAGGTAGATTTAAGTTGCCCACGGCAAGCCGGGAAAAACTCGCTTGTATACTAACATTATATGTATCAACTAAACTAAACTAAGCCAATCAATTATCCGATTCACAAAGAAACCGAATTTAAGGTGTCGTTTCCTATCTCAACCATATGTGACTCTATCCCGACTACAGCTAAAATAGGTGTTTACAAAAGTTAAATTATTATGAAAACCTAAAATATTTGAATTGATCCTATAATTTAAATATATATGTTCTCCTTTGATTGATGATTATTCTATATTTTTCTCAGTGTGTAATGTCGAGGTTTTTTTTAATCACGCCATCAACATCAACAAATAGATCATAAAATCGGCGCATGTAGAGAACATTCGTAGACAATGCATTAATTGCCTTATGAAATGGCCCAAGACAATTCAAATTCAAATTCAGAGTTATCAGCTCCATAAACAAACAGGAAAACAATGTCATATTATTTGTATACCATACAGCATATCGCCTTAGTAGAACACCCACAACTGAGGCTGATGACGACGGCGAGGTCGACGTTGACTTTGACTTGGGGTTCAACTGGAATCAAAAGATGCCGCAAGCATTTGGACTTTGGTTTTGGACGACAACGCAGCGAATGTAAGCTGGACACGAAGGCCAGTTGTCAATATTTTTCAGTATGGGCCTTGAAGAACTAAATATTTGCCTAGAAATGCGTGGTAATTGAGTGATAATCTTATCAATTCATGTGCAGTTCGTGTTTTAGTCGATATTGTAGCTTATCAAAAAACACCTATGTAAATTTTTATTTATAGCATTTCACTTCTCACATTGTGAAACAAATCGAGTTCAATGCATTTGATTAACACATCGAGTATCCAAAGTCAAGCCTCCTCCTCCTAAATACCCACGATCCGCAAACGATTGCCCATTGCCCGGCTAATCAGCGCTCCAGACTCGCGGGAACCGGCGATCAACAGTCAGCTCTTAATTACAATTAAATTGTATTTTATTTATTTTCTTTATTCTATTACAACACTATAATAAGTTTCAATTAGATTTCGTTCAACACGATTCACAGTAAAATTAAATACAGTCCAAAGTCTCAAACTGAACACACACACACATATTATGTGTATGTAACACAACAATTACGATAATAAATAAGTACACAACTATTATTCTTAAACAATCTAAGCAATGCTTAGCATTTGATATGAGTCACATTTGTCGTATTCTCAAGTATTGAGGGTTGTGGATGTGTGAAATAGTGAAAGTACTTTAAGATACTATGTTTCAACTTAAAGTAGTATAAGTTCTTATTGGAAACGAGAAATCAACGTTATGATATAATTTCTAAGAATATTGGTTGGGACCAATATATATAGATTTCAATTCTATATTATAGGATTCTTAAATTAAGATCATTTTTAAAAATTTAATACATTTTGTAGGTGATCTTAGAAAAAAACACTAGATTATAAGTTTACTATTGAAAGGAAATTGTTGGTCTTAAAGATCTATTTAGACTTTGGGCCGCAACGTTAAGAATATCATAACAAAATACCAGTTTGATATTTATGAGTGTAAAATACAGTCTAGCTACCTGTAACACGTATTATTGGCTTGAACTTTGTGTTATTCAATTTGCAAGCATTTCTATCTGTAAAATATTCGAATCAATTTAAAAATGAGTAGATAGTATACTGATATGACAATTATTTCATAGCTTCCTGTTGACAGTTTCTGATAAGAATTTTTCTATTCATATATGTTTAGTATACATGCATTATATATAATTCGATTTAATCATACCATGGTCATGATAAGCTTAAAAAAAAACACAGAAGAAACATAGATTCCTAAATAAGAGTTCTTTGAGAGATGTAATAAATACCCCAAAGAGGGATAACTTTATAAGCAATAAAACAACTTAACGCAATATTTTAACTGTAGGAAGAAAAAGTTTTGCAATAATAAATATACCATTTCTTATATACTTGAGTTAATAATGAAATAAGCGTGATTCATGAAAGAGCACAACAAAACGTTAAAACGCAAAGCGATCGACTTCGCATTGTTAAACTGAACGATAATATTGTTCGCATAGAGCGCTCCGTTGTTTAAGTTTGGGCCAGCAAAAAGCCAAATGAAGATTATGGCAACAAAGGTAACAAAATTTTATTACGTAGTGTTACGTACGAGAACTGAAAGAAATAAATTCGATATGTGGACTTTTGACCCGAGAACGAGCCCAGGCGTTGCCAAGCGATCGAGCGATCGCGCGAACTACCAAAAAGTCAATCAGCTGCCTCAGGTAAGCTAAAAGGTGTTCGTTGCTTTAGGTGTGAGCTGTTATCAATGAAGGAAAACTACAATATAACAGCAGTGAAACATTAATAGCCGATGTGAACAAAAAGTACGTTAACAAAAGCCAAGAGCCGAACGGACTTCGTTTTAGCGTTGTGATAAAGCTTGCATTGCACACAGATACACACGCACGTGCACATAGATACTCACTCACACACACACACACACACCCGCGCACAACAGCTGAGACGCTCGATCGTGTCTTTGTATGAGTCTCAGTCTGCGTCTCCGTCTTCGTCTCGGTCTCGGTCTCTGTCTCGGTGTCGGTGTCGGCCTCGCCAACCGGCTGGGGCTGACTCTACTGGAATTGTGAGGGAATCGCTAGCGCTAGCTGGGATTATTATTTGTTTGCTGGCCGCCAGTCGCCGATGTCACATCGAAGACGTTGTTACGCGGTTTGCATAGAGCGCGAAAAAATAATAAGCATAAAGACCGTAAATATCATACACCCAGCGACGTGCAAAATATCATTTATTAACTGCGATCGTTCAAGCACGGGTAAGGCAAATGACGAAACTCTTGTATCTACAAATTAACGCAAGAACAGGAACTAGAACTCTGTGTGCAAAAAAGGCCTTACGGCCGAACAACGCCAAATAAGTAGTAATATATGTTGAAGAAACCCAAAAATAAAACAATTTAATTGTTTTGACGCGTATGTGGATCCAATTTTAATTAGGAATGAATTGTGAAACCGAAGAAGACTCGTTTGTGTTTTGGTGTTTTGGCAAAATACAATAAAAAAGATCATGAAAAAGAATAAAATTAATAAAATACAATTATTATAAAATACTTTAAAACTGATGCAAAGCAAAAAATAAAAATAAAATAAATAAAATACAAATATAAACAAATTTTAAAGCTGATGCAAAGCAAAATTATAAACATTTAAATTATATAAATTATTATAAAACAAAGCAAAGCAAATAAATTCATTAAAAATGAATAAATAATTATATTTTATTTGGAATTTTGAAAAATTCAAATCTTAATATAAATATACTTGTATAAATATTTCTACATTGTAGCTAATTATCTTTCTGCATAGTCCGCATAAATAAAGTTTAACTAGATAATTAAAAAAGTGTCTTGTAAACAGTTTATAAATATATCAGAAATGATCACCGAAATCGATTATGCATATACATAACTACTTATTATATTTCTGGGCCAGCTTTGCATTTATTCTATATAAAGCAATTTAATTTCTGCAAATAATCTATCTCAAAGATCTTCATGCTCGGTATAATATCAAATTATTTTTGAAATATAAACTTAATAATTGGTTGTCAAATCGCAACACAAAGATTAGTTTCGTTTACATATTGCCAAAAGGTATATTAACCTTTCAGCAAATTTTTCTTTTTTTTTTTTAATATTTGCATTTTTAGAGCAGCTCACATTATAAAATTATCACATTGTTAAGCGTATTTAAGAATGTAAAACAAATTAAGATTCTAGATTTGATCAATGCTTCGTGGCTTGCTCTGATTCAGATGCCCAACGGAAGCAGCTGTCGTTCTGCTCTTGATTCTGTTGCTCTCAAAAAGTGCTGAGCTTCGGGTTTGGCAGATGATGTTCCTGCTCTAGAGCTGCGCCGTGGATTCTCTGAACCGGTTTCCTTGCGAGCCAAGAAAACTAAACATTGTGGCTACGAACAATACATACAACAGCATAATCAGATACATGGCACGTACATGGAGCATGTATAACATTTCATAATGTTTGAGCATATTTTCCAAAAGACATCAAAACAAAAAACTTTGCCTTAAGAAATGTAAATCACGACATTTTCGCGAAGCAAATTGTGCCAATATGCGTGAGACAGGTTTCTTCTTTCTCTGGATTATCGAACTACTTATGATGACAACAAATTAAAGTTGTTCGGATTTCGGAAATTTTTGCATGCAAACAATAAGAGACAACTGCAAACAGATGACAACAAGTGTCAATCAATATTGAAATTTTGCTGATAAAGACTCAACCTGCACGTCACACACAAATGGCGTAGTTTTAGTCTAGCCCTTCAGTAAGCTATACCTATATACATATATATATATATATGTATTTATATATATATGTATAAAGAAAGGGCATTGACACCGACTGTAAAACTGTTTTCGCTGCAACTAGTTCAAGTGCAATGCCCATTAGTGATAGGTAAATAGACATGATAGATGATAGGCTCCTGTGCCTGCCTCTTCCCTGCCAGCTATCGATTTGACACCTTTCATATGTTAGATGAAATTTACATGTTTTTTGCATGTAACGCATCCAGATGGAGAGACAGATGATGCGCAGATAAGGTGTTCGACTGCGGGTTAAAGATGACACATTGCAAATACTTCGTCACAAGGCAACGACGATTGCATTTCTTGTGTTTATTTAATACATATATTTACAAACCTACAATATGCATTTAATAATGTGTGCACTGAAACAATGCTTTTGTTGTTTTGATTGATGCCATTACATATTCAAATATATATACGTGTGCCTGTACTATACATAGGCACAAGAAGATTTTTCTACAATTACAATTCTGCATACTTATTGCTATGAATTGTGCTTTGCTTTTGTCAGCTGTACCTTGATCTTACGGAATATATATTTTCTATTTAATTAATATACATTTGAATGAAGCTGTTTGTTAATAACAAAACAAAACAAAAAGCAAAAAATGACAATTATATATTTTTATGTATACATATAGAAGTGCTGAAAAGTGGAGTAAATTGCGCGCTGCAATTACTTATATAAATATTAAATATTTTATTGAGGTTGTTTCAGATAATTGCAATTTCTTTTGTGCTCCGACGTGCATTTAAACAGTTAGCGCGAAATTATAGACATAAAAAGCAACCAGTTGTAGCTGTTGATATAATATATGTTAATTAATAATATATTAGGCACGGCTCAAAACAATGACCCCAGGCTTGGCTTCGAACTTTGGTTCCTAATAGAACTATTCAATTTCTCAATAAATGTTATTTACGTATGCTCGCTTATTGAAAAAAAACCAAAACTATTTTCAAATATGGTTCAGCTTAGACTTATCTTATTTCCTAACTAACTTATCGAGTTTAAAGTTCAGTTGAATAAATAAAATATTTGAAGGCCAGGTTTAAGAATCATTTAAAGTAAGGTGTGTAAAAATAGTTGTAGTAGGACACACCCTCTGGCAAAAGTTTGTGTAATAACTTAATTCAATGATTTTCAACTTTAGTAATTCAATTTCATGTGTTAGTTGTGGTTGCACTTTGATTTGTTAGCTTGACAAACAACAAATAAATATTATGAATAATTTTGACGTCAACTGCAATCGGCATTTGCGTAATTAAGTGACAAAAACAAATACGCGTCTAAATATTTAAATACAAATATAAAACCCCTTTCGCTGTGACTTTTGCTCCAGCTCCAGCTCCGGGACAGCTGCAGTGGGTGGCACGCGTCGCCAAATTAAAAATGAACAGGTGCAAAGGTAAGCGAGCTACAGTAGTCATCCACAATGCTGGACACACGTGTTGGAGCCATGCTCATCGTCGCCGTTCGATCAAAGTGCAATATGGCACGCAGTCAAACCCGTTTGGCTAAGTTGGCAATTTCGTTTGCAGCTGCTAGCTGCTTGCCCCAATAAAATGTGGCACAACTCCCTGATGCATGACGCCCGTTGCATCATTCTAAAATCAATCAAGCGTCGTACGAACTAAACACATTGCATCTTAGTCCGAAAGTGCGATTCGACTTTCATAAGAAAACAAAAAATAAAGTAGCTCTAATATTTGATAAAATCTCAACAATATGTTAAAATTACTTGTGGTAAGT